TTATAGAAATAAATAAATATATATTTGACACATCTATATGAAAGTATAAATCTAAGCTCATGCAAAAAACTTCTTGTATTAAGTGATCTTTATAGAAGTGCTTATTCTAAAGAAGAAGAATAGATGTATTTTACTTGATTGGATTAATAACAATGATGGCAAGAAAAGATTAAGAATAGAGATTGAAAATAGAAGGGATGAAGATGAAAGTTGAAAATAGAAGGATGGCAGTTGAAAAAAAGAGGAAGACAATCAAGATAAGAGTTGTAAACAAAAGTAGGAAGGATTAGAAATGAGGGAGGTAGAGATGAGAGCCATGATGTTAATGATGGTTATTAGAGATAATCCATTTTTTTAAAGATAGTTATAATAGGATGGATTAATTTTGTAAAAAAATAGATCTATTTAACATATATATATATAAGAAAATGATAAAGTGAATCAAATTTTTACTAAAGTGATCCACCCATCATCACAATTTTGTACATAGATAGTATAAATATTCTTCACTATTAAGACCATAATCTATATTTGAATAATAGAATCATCATTTTAGATATAGTTTCCAACAATTTTCAATAGTTTCTAACTACTAGTAATAACATCTTTCTATTGTTCTTCTATTAATTACCTTATAATTATGTGTGTACTATTTTTTTATTTTATTCTAATATATATTCTTTTTTAGATTATGTATAATAGATAGAGGAAAAAAATTATATATTTTATAATTTTTTTTGTATTTTATAATATAAAATGAGCAATATATATGTGTACCACTATAGGGATATTTTAAAAATACAGAAGAAATAAAATGTAGTATTGATGAATTTACATACAATCAAGGCTATTTCATATGAAATCAACTCTTTGATAAAGATTGCATTGATTACAAGTGTGACAAAGGAGAAGTTTATTGTGATCAAAATTGTCATACTTGCAAATAAGATAATACAAGTCGTTTGACATAATAGTATTTAATGGCATTTGATTATTCAAACTGCTCTTTATAACCATAGAGTTATTTTTTTTTCTTTTAAACCATCTATTTGCTTGTTGTTTATAACTACCCAAAAAAGAATTAACTTCACAATTGCTAATTGCAATCATCCTACCAAAAAATGTTATTATTGCCTTATATTCACAATTGCTAATTGCAAGCATCCTACCAAAAAATGTTATTATTGCCTTATATTCACAATTGCTAATTGCAAGCATCCTACCAAAAAATGTTATTATTGCCTTATATTCACAATTGCTAATTGCAAGCATCCTACCAAAAAATGTTATTATTGCCTTATATAAGACTGATACTAATAGCAAAGCCATTGTTCAAATTATTAACAATGAGCAACAAAAATTACTTCTCGTCGTACTTGTAAGACAATCAGCTATTATATGTCTCATAAAAACTTTATAAAGAGTTAATTACCATTTTATTTTATTTTTTTTATCAAGAGGATAAAGTTACTTCTCTATTTTTTGCATATTTTTATCATGTTCAACTTGTAAAAAAGTACTATTTTTCCATTGTCATAGATTGCACATACAAAATAAATAGATTTAGAATGCCAAAATTACATGTTGTGAGGATGATAAGTTTTAATACTTCATTTATCATTGATATTTTTTTTCTCTAAGAGGAAACAAAATCATTTTTTTGTTGGGCTTTAATCCAACTTTAAAAGATGTATGGAAAAATTTGCATAGGTATTGATAGGAATTTAGAATTAATAAATTAAATTAATACTTCTCACTTCAAATATATCACTTTGTATTTGGTATATACAAAAAATATATTAGCAAATTCTAAAAAATACTTTTCAAATAAAGTAGAGTTAGGATGGCCTTTATTCCTTGTAGATTGGACCATTGTGATTAGTACATGTTTTATAGAGCTTTTTTTTATTTAGAATGGACTAATCTTTGCAACAAATATATTCCTATTGTTATTCATGCAACTATTGAGTATTTAAAGAATACTTAGATACTATACAAGAAGAGATTTGCTAAAGCTTAGATAAATAATCTACTTCATCTTAAAAGTGTTACTACATCATGAGTAGAAAATCAATATTTAATATTAAAATCTTACTTAAAATTTTCCACCAAAGACCTTAAAAAAGCTCAAATTTCTCTCTTTCACTTTTTTGAGAATACAACAAGAGAATTGAAGGCTCAAGAAAGTTTAAAAAAAATCCATATTGTTTATCAGCACAACATTGGTTTCTTCACTAATATTGTGTATCTTTACATGCTATTAATCTTGTTCTTTACATGCTATTAATCTTATTCATTACGTGCTATTAATATTGAAACATGTGTCTTTATATGCTATTAATCTTGTTCTTGAATAACATAAATAAACAAGTGTATAAATTGATAAATATAATTTTTTATATAAAAATAATAATAAATACATTAAGTATATCATATAAGCATCAAATAAGAATTTTATTAAGATGAGAAGATGTTTTGTCAATTAGTGATTTTTATCATCAATTCTACTTAATAAATATTCTTGACCAATTTATTCCAATAGCACTTCCACTTCCATTCTCTTCTAATAGTTTATTTTCACTTTATGTTGCTATTAGTTGAATTTTTGATGTTTTACTTCTTCACCAATAAAAGAATCTATGTAAAAGATTGATTGACCTTTCAATAATAACTATGCAATTGAAAAATCCACAAGTAAATTATCCAAAGGAAAGATTACAAGGAGCAAGGAATAGAAGCAAAAGTAACATGTATGTAAAAACATCAACAGAATGATCTGCATCACAGTTTGAGTCTATAGAAGGAAGAACAAGGAGGTACTTTTACAGCAACTACAAGTCAATAGGATATAATGTCCGCACATGTTCTACAAGGATAACTTTTTCTTCACAATTATTTATAAATAATATACAAAGAAAATAGAATTCAACACTATGCTCCTAAAACTATTTAAAAAAATTATTATAAATAGTCATTTGAAAAATTATAGATGGTTATTACTTCAAGTAATATTAATTATCAATTAATTTCATACTAAAAAAGTAAAAAAGTCAAATTTATAGTCCTAAAATGTCAAAACAAGGTCCTACTTTATATCTTCAGATGAACAACACACGGATTAATTCACAATCATACCCAAAATTAAACTTTCTTCTCATCTTCTCTCCAAAAAGATAAATATTTAGATATATATATATATATATATATATATATATATATCATATTCAATCTCTAAACCAAATATGTAGGAGTAAAAAGATGCAATTGATGAATAAATAGTATTTCTGAGAGTTATGAAATAAGTCTTCTATTCTACATAAGTGACATAAGACAATTTATGTGATACTAGGTGTTGTTGTAAAAACAAGACTAATTTTAAGCAAGTAATTTATTTAAAGTAATTTATCTTTTTTTTATAAGAAATGTACTCCAATTTGATAACATCAAATATCACAATTTTTTAATTCCAAAATTCTAGATTCAAATAAAAAAATACAAAAAAAAAATAAAGACAAAATTTTATTAAGATATCTGCTTCACGAGGATGAATGATGCACAAGATTTGAGAGCATATATATAAGGATTTATTATAAATGTAAAGCATCAACAAAAAATTAGCTTCAATGTGACAAATTCACAACAAAACTTGGACATTTAGACATTGTTTTCATGCCTTGTAGCATACAATAAGGACTATGGTCTAATAGACATGGTACAGAAAAAAGCCAAGCATGTGGTTATGATACAGTATCAAGGTTCTCCTCCATTGGGGTTGCAAAAAGAATCATCGTCATATCCAAGTTCCCCCCTTCAACTCGCTTATTTGTAACCAACATATATTGTATCAATTTTTTTGTGTATTCTAGATATTTCACCTCTAAGAACAAATAGCATGCTTGTACAACAATTTGAATGCCATTCACAAGGTCCTTCAATTTTAAAAATTCCAACTTCTTTAACATCATCTCCATCCCCCCACCTTTCTTGTGTCAAAGCATTATACACAGTCAACCATCACACATTGTATTTTAGAGAGAGAGAGAAAGAGAGAGAGAGAGAGAGAGAGAGAGAATATATAATTGCTCTAACAATGACTCCATGTTTTTTCAATCCACAATTGTAAAATTCCAATTTTAAGAAGAAAGAAGATGCTGCTCACAGTTACAATAATCACTACCTACACAATATTTAGGAATTTATATTATTGTAGAGTTGGGAAGGAAGGTCACTAATCAACACATGAGTATTATAAAACAACAACTGCTATTACTATTGGTCCATGAATCATAGTATTAATCATATATATTAAATCTCTGGGTCAATTTCAACAACAATTGACAAACCTTAAACTCTCACTGACCTTGTACTAACACTGAGAGGCTTCTAAAAGTTGGTCTTTGCAATGGTCATTGCAAAATGTTTTACAACATACTTCTAAGAACTTATATTGAAGTGTGAAGGTGGTAGAGAAGTCATGCGGAGAGAGAAGGGCAGCAAGAAAAGGAAGGCCAACCTAGCCCTCATTCCAACAAAAAACAATGCAATGAGATAAACCTGTGGCAAGTTCTTTTTTCTTTTAAACAAATAATTAGGATTCTAATTAAGAACTACCATGGCTATCATTGTAAATGGTAGCAATGAAGATTAAATTATCATAATTATAGATGAATGTGCTTTCTTTGCATTGGTTGCACATCAAGTGGTAGAGAAATAAATCTAGAGGTAATTATTTTGTCATGATTATGATGATGGATATGTCATTTCAGTAATAATTTAGATTGCTTTTTCATTCCCATATATATATATATATATTATAATTTTAATTGGAATAAAAAACTATAAAAAAAAGGTGGAAAGAGTGGCAGTGGCAAAAAAATGTGGTGGCATTCTCTCTACCGCTTTGGTTTTTGCATTGGTCGATGGATGATTTTCATCAGCTAGGGTTTTGAGGAAGCTTTGCCGCAGCCGCATCCTCGTTCATCGTGTCCTTTCCATGACAAAACCTGCAGCATCCCATTCGCTCTCCTTTCCTCCTCAGACTTCGAATTCATACACTAAGATTAAATCGATATTTAGACGACTTTCTCGAAATTTGATTCAAGCTTGTTTGTGTTTGTTTCTTTGTTTGTGGTTAATCTCTTTTATTTTGACAATCGAAACTTGCTGTGGTTGACGATCCAAACACCGAGTGCAATCAAGTCTCGGCATTGGACCATCGCTCGATTTGTTTGCTGTTGTCCGCGATGTTATGGAATGAAATTTTCTCTCACAGAAGCACGTTTTGCGAGTGCAGGCGCAGTAAGATGGGGAGACGGTGGAAAGAGTGTGAAATTCATCGGGAACGGCTGACGAATTTTATATTTCGTTTGATATTGTTGTAAATTTAGCTTCGTTGGAGTTGTGTAGCGGGGTGTGGTTATCACAATGAGTTGCGGCTCTATGCCAAAAAGGCTTTAAAGCGTTACGCTTCTGAGCCTTGCTGAACACACGCATGCGTACAAGTAGGTCACCATGCAGATCGAGGAAGTGATGCCAGAGCAGAGAGTTGAAGGTTTCGTGCGGAAGTTTGATGTGAGAGATTGGCGAGATCCAGAGCTGAATTTGTATTTGACGTTGACAAGGGCCACAGACGGAGAGCCACCGGAAAAGGAGAAGAAACCTTGGAAGGATCCATATGATGATCCTTTTCCTCTTTATCGAAAAGAACCGGTAATCAGACCTGCTACTCCACCGATCATCAATGTCCAACACCAAGTGGTCAAGGTATTGTCATACAAAGATCCCAGACCGTTGAAACAGATGGTTAGGGATACGCTCCGATGTTTCCGAGACCACCCTAGGTATACTTCGACAGACCCGATCCGCGAGTATCAGGAAGTCATGGCTTGTTTTCAGTTGCGGTGTGCAGTTATGCAGTGGCCTGATAAGTAAGTTTTTCTATCATTCTCAATTGGCAGGCAATGGTGGGAGTCTCAGTTCTGTTTATCTGATCTCTCTCTATCCCGTAATGGAGGCAGTAGTAAATGCAATGTCGCGTAGATTTCGCTCAATTTATTGTATGACCTATTTACTGCTTGTATTGAAGGCAATTGTATTTTCGGGGGGCGTCGAAGCATCAACTTTTCCTTTTCAAAAATTTACTTGTCTATTTAAAACAATTTTTTTTGTGCTCCACCAGACATTTTTCAGAGATGAGCGAGCAAGAATACGAGGCCATGGTGGAGCTTGCTGCGAAGCATATGACACTCACAGACTGCCCAGCTCAAGAGATAGTTCAGCTTCAGGTCTAGTAATTTCACAATACAGTAACTATCCTTATTATGAGGATTAACATCGACACCATTTCTGCGGACATGTATGTTGTTTGTTTCACCTTTTTTTACCATAATAAGAGACACCAATGTTGTTGATCACTATTTCAATGTCCAGCAGCTTCCACGATTTGCACGTAAATCCATCCTCAACTAGTGAGAACCATTCTGTTGACGGACAATTTCTGTGGGAGAAGGAGACTAGTAGGTCTTTAACAACACTATTGTGACTTCTCTATCGACATACAGGTTACAACGCAAGCAGCGTTTCATTTTGCTATGAAGGAATTAGACCAAGAAAATAGTTTAAGAAATGCCGAGCTAAGCTCGACTGAGCAAGTCATCTTGGATACTAAGGTAAGTAACCTTTACAAGGAATTGTCAAAGTCTATTTTTTAATTCAACTTTAATTAGTTGGCCTTTCACGAGTAACTGCTAAACCTAGTGCCAATTACAGACGCATGTGAGTCTAATTCTTGACAACTTTGAAGGGGTAGGTTTATTTGGATGTAGCATTGACTAAAGGATCACTGAATCATGCTGAATTGCTTTGGGAATTTGTATTCTTTGTTTTCACTCATTTCAGTACATGGCAAACTCGAAGCTACTTGCATGAGCAGCAAGGGAGCCGTTATCGCAATTAGATGGTAGTTCATGAATGTTGCCATTGGATTTGTAGCTAAATTGGCTCCTTTCTGATTTTGCGATGCGCAATTAGATGGTAGTTCATGAATGTTGCCATTGGATTTGTAGCTAAATTGGCTCCTTTCTGATTTTGCGATGCGCAATTAGATGGTAGTACATGAATGTTGCCATTGGATTTGTAGCTAAATTGGCCCCTTTCTGATTTTGCGATGCGCAATTAGATGGTAGTTCATGAATGTTGCCATTGGATTTGTAGCTAAATTGGCCCCTTTCTGATTTTGTGATGCGCAATTAGATGGTAGTTCATGAATGTTCCCATTGGATTTGTAGCTAAATTGGCCCCTTTCTGATTTTGCGATGCGCAATTAGATGGTAGTTCATGAATGTTGCCATTGGATTTGTAGCTAAATTGGCTCCTTTCTGATTTTGCGATGCGCAATTAGATGGTAGTTCATGAATGTTGCCATTGGATTTGTAGCTAAATTGGCCCCTTTCTGATTTTGCGATGCGCAATTAGATGGTAGTTCATGCATGTTGCCATTGGATTTGTAGCTAAATTGGCCCCTTTCTGATTTTGCGATGCGCAATTAGATGGTAGTTCATGAATGTTGCCATTGGATTTGTAGCTAAATTGGCTCCTTTCTGATTTTGCGATGTTGACCTTATCAGGTGATCGATATTCGAAAATATTATGAAACTGCAGAGGTTCTGCGGGAGCGGGTGATTGCCTATCTTATGGTTTACAATAAATTTGTAGACCCGTTTGCCGCTGCAATACAGGGAGGTGAGAAAAGGATGAATTTAGAGTTAGAAGCAGCTCTTGAGAGTGTTTTTCCAAGGAAGGGATTTTTGTATTGGATGGATCTTCCAAAAGAGGAAAAAATGTTGCAGTTGCAAGAGCTGGCTGAAGTGGTGACGGGCGTTAGGGTTTTCAACAAGTTAGACCTCTCTATTTCTTAGATATTTACTATTTTAGTATTCAAGTAGTAGACATTCAGCGGATTTATCTAAAATAACCCACGTGAGTCATTTGAGGGCTTACGATATTAGGACTGCTGGAAAAAGACGTGCATGTCTTCAAATTTTGATGGCTTTGAATCTAGCGGTGTTTTGAATCCACTTAGACGTGACATTTATAATAGTAGTGAATCTTCTACGGCATGGATATTTCAGTACTCCTCTTGCATATTTTGGTACCTCCCAAGGCTATTCAAGTCTCTTCTCAACTAGGTGGATTGGAATTCAACCTGGGAACTTGGGAATTAGGGAACTCGTTCCCAATGGTGTTCTCAAGAGGAGCAACCCAGGGGTTTGGAGGAGGGTACCAAAATATCCAAGGGGATACCGAAATATCATTATCCATCTTCTATTATCAAAAGTTAATGCGAAGATTGACGATACTCTTCTTGTGTTATGAACAATGTATGTTGACTTTCTGGTCATTTTTAAACATGATTTCAGCCTCTCAGATACTGATCTGGTTAAGTCTTGGAGTTCTCAGGTATGAAGGAAAAGGAGGTCAAGGTTTTCAGCTCCCAAATGAGGTGTACGAGCATGACGCCGTAGAGCTTGGATGCGCAATTCAAGACACTTTTGAAATAGTCAATACCAAAATCCGTGCATATAGTTCTAGTGTCATGAAGTATTATCAAGACATGGGAGTTAATCACATTTTTATCAAGCGCTTGCGAGATGAAATTTCGTACCAATTTCAAGTCAGTGCTTATTATGACATCTTGAGTCTTAATGCCAACGTATATATTCTAACATCCAAACGTCGAAAGAGTTGTTGAGCATATTAGGAGGTCTGTTTAAATGATAATGTCCATCTCTTCGTCAATTTCCATGAGATGTGTTCAAAGCTCTATGATGGCAGGTTGCCCTATACCTGGAGCCTGTTCGTGAATATCTTTGTGAAAAGCAAGAGGCTGTTTTAAACCTTCTAGAGAAGAGTCATGGACATTTGGATAGACTTTCGGAGATCATAGGAAGCTACGAGGTCATTCCAAGTGACATGGTATGCTGCACAACCCTGTTATTTTCTGTATAAGCATATTATCATGCAGTATAGGTATCTAAATATGGCTAGTACTACACTCGTTGTTCACGATGAGTTAATGACAAAATTATGAGGTGACGTGTGCAGGTATTTCCTGAATTGCGAGCAATTGGAGCCATTCATATTGCCATCGCTCAGGAGTTTCGACACTTGCAAGCACGAATCAAAGCAGCCACACCGCTTTTGAAAATGGCTCAGAATCCTTTCTATAGAGAGTCTCCACATACAGAGAAAAGACTTGATATCAAGCGGAAGAATTTCCTTTTTCTCGCCTGCGAACCTCCTCAGGTGGATTGTAATAGGTTCGTTCACGATGAGATTCTTTCACATAATTTTTTCCTACCACACTTCTATCAGATCTGTGATTCAAATTCATGCATCATGTGCAGATATTTGGGTGACCTCCGTAGACTGTCATGGAAAAGTTCTTGGTAATGTGTAGGATTTACGGCTCATATGCGTTGCTGATTTTTCAATTCTGGGATTATCATGAACTTTTAATTCTTTATCAGTAGTGCAAGAATGAAGAGTATGTCTTGTCTATCAAGTATGATATTATTCAACAACATATAGATGTTCATTGTGTAGTCGATGTAACGCTCTACGTCGTCGGGCAGCACAGATTAATAAGAAACTGATTGTCGACATTTACTACATGACCAAGTCCGATTGGGAGGATTTCAGGTACGAAGTGACTGAAGATGACTGCAAAGCACAATTTATTCCACCGAATGAGGTACGCGCTGTAATGGAGAAGCAACCTCACATTGAGTATAACGGCTTCTGTCCTGTCTGTTTTTCTCGAACAAATGGAATTCTCTGGAAAGGAGATCCTGACATGGGCCTTGTACAAACTGTGGACAAGAAATTGTATTGCTTCGGAGATGAAGACTCACAAAAAAGGTACTGAACGTCCTGAATTTGAAAATTGGCAATGAAGTTTAGAGCTGGACCCGTAGTTTCTGTAAGCATGCTTTCCAGAATTGTAGTATCCCACTTGGTTATTAACAATTGATTCATGCACTTCACCTTCATTTCAAAATTTCCTTATTTTTTGAAGTTCCCCTAGGTTTGTGGTGGACCTGGCGGTTTCTAACATTTTCTACCGTGGAGAGCAGGTTCTTGAAGGCTCCCTGCAAGTACATAGCAGATGTGGCAAAGCTGGTGTTAGAAATGCCGCAACACGTTCATTTGATGAACCTGGAATACTCGCCTGCATTTTATTACCTCTCCATCCCGAAGGTTTTTCATCCTTTCTTTGCACAACCTGACCACCAAGAAATACAAGTCGTATACTGGTTCATGTCGAATTAATCCAATGCCTTCACCCACGCCTTCACTTTATTTGGGCGGATTGTCTCGATGATCTCAGACTGAGATTTCATCATTTAAGCTTAGTTTGTTCACAGTTTCGTGCATCCGCCATAGTCATGTTAGATTTTTAGGTTGAAAAAATCTCATATTCTGTCGGTTTGATCTTTTGATAGTACATGAGAAACTAAAACATGGATTGGAGCAGATTTTGGAGACTGAGCTCGTGAACGAGAGCTTGCCTAAAGACTTTGGGATACAAACAGAGGTTCATCCATGGATGTGTCGATGGGATAGACAAGAGCTTGAACAAAGGTATTCTTGATACATCTGCTACTTCCTTTCTGGAACCTATGATCAATATTTCATCGAGTTGATATTGATGATCACCAATTACCATTTCTATTTTTTATTTTTTATTTTTTTTTCTTACCCACTAGCTCTTCAATTCCTTGTCAATGAATATGTCGCTGATCGGTGTGGTCACCTACCACGCCGACATGCTTATCAACCTCCAGAATTTCTGCAGCTCATTTAGATCCTCAGGCTTGTACCTCTTATGCAACATTCTGATTGAAATCGCGATCATAACGCAGAAAACTGGAGTGGCAAAAATTGAGGACCCATTTTACTCAGACCGATGTTAGCCATTTCCGACGCGAGAATATCACCCAGGTTGGGAACTTTTGTTGTGAATCTAGATCCGATCAAATTATTGTGAAGCTTGTGGTGAATTTTGTCTACATTACAGTAAGTCCTTGTTCTGCGCTCTACATTTCACAGTGGACACTATGTTGTACTGATTTGGTGCAGACATATCCACCAAAGGACATGTGGACGAATACGGGAATATCAAGGTTCACCAACATGCCTAGCCAAATGAAGGAGTTACATGACCTACGAGGCCATCTCCATAACAAGATGCACAGCGTCAGGTCTACGTATGAACATACGTCGGTACATAATCCTTGGAAAGAGAAACCTCCCCCCATTCACACTTTTCACTGAACCAAAGTGCTGAAAGAGGACTCGGATTCATCTTCTCATCATGATTATTATTTACGAAAAAGCATTAAAAGTTTTAAAAGTTTTGATATCTTCACTAAAAAGCCAATTTCAGTGATGAAGATACACAAAGATTTGTTGAGAATGGATTTACTACATTAATGCCCTGAAAATAATACAGTCGTTTTTGTTGTTGACGTCTTTTTTCGTGTTTTTTTTTACATTGTAAATTCTCATTTTCTTTGACCAAGTGATGGTAATGTAAGAACTTTTTTTTTAAGGGCAAACAAGTAAGACATGTCAACTCCTAATTTGGGCTATTACGTAGATCAGGTCAAGCTTGTGCAACATTCATCGTGTCCGTGAGTTTAATATGAAAATTCTCCAATTATATTGGCATTTGTATATTTCCAATACCACCGTTTGAAGAAGCTTTCATCGAGACACATTGAACTGATGTTTCAATTGTGTATCAGAATGATGGCCCATGCTGATCGTCAATTGCTCAACAAAACTCTTCCGAGGGTGTTCTCGGGTGTGCCCATGTCAAGTATATAAGATTTCTGGAAAGATTAGGGCATCCACTCATGGCCTACGAACCTGAGCAATTGTGTTCACCGGCGCAAATGTAGTGAGAGTGAGTTATGAATTTCGTCGGAGAGCTGAAGGCCAAATGCTGTGGGAACTCAGGTCATTCATCTGGTGGAGAGGCTTGGGGCAAAACACTTGACCAGTATGCTCATAACTGGAATGCCGATACCCACCAGCGTCCTCCCAGCTAATTCGTGAGGCACTATCCATGCCATCGACAAAAGACAGGTTTAGTTGTCTACATGAATTAAACGTCCAAATGGGGCCACAAGTTTTCATTAAAATAAAATAAAATTGTTCACACAAGCACGATAGGCAGAAAAGTGGGGTTAAGTTTCGAACACACATGGTCTACTTGCGTCACTGTGATTTGCAGGCCTGGCAAATGGGGACAGCGGTCCGCAACCAATCTACACAAGATCAACGGACCTTAACGTTAAGTCTCTGGGTTTTCAGAACAAAAGCGTAACAATAACTGACAAACCTTGTTTCGACTGATACAAGGAATAGAAGAGAGAAACACGAGAAGGGTGGGGGTGTTATTATTACGCACAGTCAGACTAGGGGCAGGAGGACCGTTTTGATACCATGGATGGCTTGGTATTCCTTGCTGCCAATGTCCGGATCATTGATACTGGAGTAGCCATTGAGTTTGTTGCCACCGATGGTAAAGTTCATCTTCTTGCCATTGAAGGCGATTGTGACCATATAATCGGCTTTCTGGGCGAGGTTCTTAATCTGCTGGGACGAAAATGTTCTCCCTGCAATAATGTGGTATTGCAACACGCTGGTCGCCACAGATTTGCTCACTGCATCCGAATCTGAGAACAAACATGGGTATTTCTGTCCATCATAGGCACAGTTCCAAGGTGGAGTCTAGGTCAAATCACATACAATATCTACATCCTGACTCACAAACAAACTAACAAACAAACGAAAAAAAAAAAAAAAAAAAAAAACACCAAAAGCGAATAGGAATCCAATCCGTCGTGTGGCTTCTATGATGAATAGAAGCCGTTCCGTCCCATTTGAGCTTTCTAAGAAAACTGGAAGGATAGGGATACGACGAAGAAATGGCGGAATGAACCTTGATAGCCGAGCTCTGGGGGGCGAAGAACGTTAATGTGGAGGACACACCTTGTGCTGCCGGCCAGGACTGATTCAACAGAGCTTGCAGCACATTCCCGCTTCCTTGGTACGCCTTGGGCAGGATGGGCGGCACTTCTGCCTTCCCATGAGCGACATGGGCCACCGCCATGAGCATCACCGCCACCGTAGCTACCAACCTCGTCACATTCCGCAACGAGTATGCCGCCATTCTCTCACCCCCAACGCGACCTTCCCACAGTTTCTGGGTCCAAGCCCTAGAACTTGGAGCAGTAATCAGTGACAGCCCAACATGGTTTGAATTCCCGTTCCGCTTTCGCATGGCACCGAGACGAAGGTGCCACACGCCTTAGTGATCTTGGAGGCGGAAACTGATGTGGCATGGGATCACATCCGGGTGTGTGAGCTTCAACCCAGCGCAGCTGTGGTGAGTGGGAGAAGATGCAAACCGAAGCTCGCAGATTGGTGCATGTGTTTTCTTTTTATGCGCGCGCGCGCGCGAAGGGGGTGCGGACACGGATTTCCGATGCGTCGCCATAGATTTTTCATGGCAGTTTGTTTTTCTGCTGATTCCGCTTCGCCGTGACAGTTGTGGCAGTTTCCAAAACCTCGCCGCATGAGCGAGGCTAGTCGAACAGAGTACAAGACGCCTTTTTTGCTTTAAATGTTTTCTTTCACTTTAACTGCGAGGTGATCTGCAAGACCAGTTCGGATGATTGCATTTCATAGCGTTTTCCAAGTTGTGGAAGTCTCTTTTTACAAGCAGTCAACATGGACTCCAAAGTAGAACTTGGGGAATGACCCCTAATTATTTTTTTCATTTTTTTTATTCAACTAGAGATTTTGGATAAGTTTGGGTTTTGTTTTGTCAGAACGAACGGTGGTTATATTAAAGAATTATAATTTACAGGTTAGTATGGGTCTCATAAACTGGTTGGCAGAACTCATAGGATGGAAGCCATCACCCACCAAGGTGAGCAAAGGCTTTCCATGCAAAAAATTTGTGACTGCACCATACTTGGTCAAAATCTTTGTCTAATATTTCCTACTGTTTCTTACCAAAAGATTCTATATAATTAAATATGTGGTTTCTCTATGCCATGTCTACATAGATTGTATCTTGCCAAGTATTGTGGCAAATCTGAAAAAAAATAATCTTTTCTTGGATGTAAACTACAACAACGACACTAAATTCTCCATATTAAAGTGCTTCGAAGGACATTTCTTGCTAAGATTGGAGTGCAAAGAGATGATGTATATTCCAAACCAAATCTAGTTGCCAAGTAGGATGTCCATGGCAATTTCTCTCCAAGGAAGGTGTTAGGGCATGTCTAAGACACTCCATATATTGGAATAACAATGCAAAACTTGATGGACAAATTTGCAATTTTATAAGCAATATTCTGGTGTTCCTTGGATGTCCCTACTGCAATACAAGCATACATTGAGGAATCCCATTTCCGCACTTCGGCTATTGGTTGGTAGTCTTCTTGGATTGAGTAGCTATATGAAAGCTTGTGACTTAGTACATATATTTTATTCCATTGAAGCTTAATTGATTCTATCTTTTTAGATGGCATTAGTCTAAGAGTGGCCTCTTTAGAGTGAAGTTAGGTAACTTGTAATTTATCAGCCATTGTTATATAATAGCCATATCTTATTGAATAATTAAAAAAATTGGCAACTTAGAGAAGCAAGATCTTACACCATTTCTATTTTGGTGGATCAAATTGGACCTATACACCATATGACTTTATCATATGGTGAGTTTGGATTAACTTGCATAATATAGAGGTCCTTATTCAAAGTGACCACTCAAGTTCAATGGAAGTTGAAGCTTATAATATCCATAAGATAGTCAATTTCTTAATGGGAGTAGTAATCAAGCTTGATTTATTCGAAAATGGCTCTTTTGTATAGACAATAAGTTATGAGGGTCTATGTCTCACTATTTGAATCCAATACTCCTATCTACTTATATAGTTTGAAAGCAAATTGTTATATCATATTTTATTGGTCCAATATTGAGGCCAAGAATCTACTCTTGTATTGTTTTATATTACAAGTATATATTATGTGACACAATTCTTCTATTTTTTCCATTCTCAATGTTGATTATGCCACAAATCCTTGAATTAGATGATGCCTTTCTACATCCATGTGATTTTAGGCAAATATAAAGTGCCTCTAAGCATGAATCCTTATAAATATAATATCTTGCATTCTAGAATAAATATTAATGAGTTGTGGAGTCAACATGGGATGGTTGTTGAAATTCCAATCTATGTCGTACATTGATCCATGCTTTGTAAATTGTTCACCAAAGATCTAATTTGAATTGTTTTATAGCTTTAGCATAAAAAATGAAGTATATGTGAAGAAGCCATATGCCTCCTTGTTTTAAATGAAGTGAGGTGATTTGGTGCTTAATGAGCACCTACCATATTATTGAGCTATGCAATAAATTATAAATAAAGAATTTAACTAGAAGAGCATATATTTATAGATCATGATCCAATAGTTTCAATCTACTTAGATTTTAAAGCAATATCAAGGAATTTAAAGCTACCTTAGTTCAGCCAATTTTTTTTTCCATCTTCTTCTAACCATGTGTAGTTCTATAACAGAGCACATATCTTATTTAATGAATGTACATAAGGGCACCAACTTAAAGCTATATACTACACTGATGCAAATAAAACTTGGTTAGCAATTAATATTCTATTAACTAAAGATTGTTTGATGGTGCACCAATATGTTAGTTTTTGTTTAAGAGATTTAAAAGCAATCTTAAATCTATCTTCAAGAGATATTTGATAGCCTATTATTAAGCCTAGATATCAAGTCATTTTACTTGGTATTAGCTATTGAAGGTTATCTTCTTTTTCTTAAGTAAAAGGTTTAGGTATTTTTGAGACCATATAATGTAGAATTTATTCCAATTGATCTTTGTACCAAAAGCAATGGCAAAAATGATGAGAGTTAGTTTAATGTAATCAAGACTAACTTGAGTGTCCAATAAATATAACTTAGTATCATCAATAAATTTCTTGATTGATTACTTTTTATTTTAGTCTAAGCAAAATGATACTCTTATCACCTCCTTCCTTTTTTAAAAAATAACCAAAGCAATCAGCTTTAAAGAGATAGAAAAAGAAGCAAGAATGCATCTTAGGCTAATAAACCTAGTAATTTTAAAAAGAGTGCTAGTTATATCATTTAGCTCCACTAAGTACTATAAGTCAATATAAAAGATTCTAATCTATTTAATCTACTCAAAGTCAAATCCCATGGTTGTCATAGTATCTTCTAAAAAATTCCATTCAAATCTATTGTAAGCCTTTTCAAAATATAGCAAGAGCATAATCATAGATTGTTCAAATTCTATGGTTTCAAAGGCTTAAAAGATATTATTTATAATATGTCTTCTTTTTAAAAAATAAATTTGGTTGGACCTTATAAAGTTATTTAAGATGTGTTATAATCTCTTTACTATCAATTTAATTAATATTTTATATATGGTATCTAATAGAGTAATTGGTTATCAATTTTTTAAATTAGTTTTTATTTTCCTCTTTAAAATTAAACAAAAGAGTCATGTGTTAAGGTAGTGATAAAGGATATATAAATGGAGTGCTTTAATAAAGACTTCTTATAAGTTGTATCTAAAAATGCTCTACATCTTTAAAAAAAAATTGACATATAATCTATTGCTTCTAAAGGTTCAATTTTTTGGAAGTGTCTTTAGGACCTTAGAGGCTTTGGCCTTGGTTACAGTGGTTGTGAGTGCTTGATTTATCTTGGCAAATATCAACTTAGATAGTTTGTTCCAACAATGATTCTGAATAGTAAGGTAGGTTGAGAAGAAGCCTTGATTTGTAAATAACTTTTGATAGTAAGTAGTGGCATATACAGCTATAGAATCATTGTTATCATATTCTTGACTATTCTTGCTATAGAGTAGTTGAATCAAGGATACATTATTATCTTTTAAGTCACTAAGGAAAATAAATAAATAAATGAATAAATAAAATCATGCGACCATCAAGTTATGCCTAATATGTGGAGCTACATATGCTTGGTATTTGGATTATTTAAATTTATGTTTTGTAAGGGCTTGAGATGCAATATCACATGTAATTTGTAGGAACTCATTACTAGGACTGAGTTGGAGGATTTTCTTTGTCAAAAATAATATTACACAAAGTTGAGCTAAATGGGTGCAATATGCTTGAGCTTGCAATGCTTCTTTATCTTAGCAAAATACTTTCACTTATTAGAATGATTCTACTATCTAAGTAGACTAGCTTAACTTATCAAATCATGGATTATACTCAAGTATCCATTAGCACTTTAATCATTGAACCATGCATGCATTGTCTATAAATGAAATATTGAATTAGAAGTATTTATCTCCTATTATATTTTGAATTTAGTTTCTAAGTATTAATTAGATTAGAAAGTGGTTGGAAAAATGGATGTAGCCATTGAATATGGTGACGTGATCTTTGTTGACTCTATTTCAATTATCTATATAAAAAAAATCTAATTAGGTGAGGTGGTGATCAATAGAGACTTGTTGGTTTGACCATGAGAAAGATAAAGAGTTGTGGTGGTTGAAATTATCATATATATTAGCTCTCAATTATATTCCAAAATTTAATTTTAATTTTTTTTCTTATTTTATGATACTTGAGCATGATATATTAGGATTTATATAAGTAGAATTTAATTGTATAGGATTTTTAGGATTGTAACTTTTGATGATATATCATAGCCTAATTCCTTAAATTAGGTTAATTAGGACCAAAGTGATAAGAGTTAGAAAATTAGAATAGCAATTTAATTAGTTTTAATAATTAATAGGTTGTTAGTCATTACTATAAAAGTTGACTAAGAGCCTATGAGTTTACTTATAATCATTTCATATGATTTACAATAAATTAGACTTATAATTTTTTAAAAGATCTAGTAAAGTTTAGCAATGATAATTTTGAAGATTTTCTCCAAATTCAACAAATCTAAGTGGCAAAGTGATTATTCTAATTAATTGAAGCCTTTTAAATATAATGGTGGCATCAGATTCACCTCATGGAGTGAAGAAAACAAGATCAGCACCCTCTCCTTCAAAATAAAGTGGAGCAATGAAATTCTCATTTTTGAAGAATTTTATAAAAATTGCCAAAATCCTTGTAAGTAAAAACCTTCATAAATATTGTAAATGAGCATATATTGAAGCATGTGAATAATTAATCTTAGCATGAAAAGATGTTTTGAACACAATGGTGAAGTTAGATTTATCAAAAAGTGTTTTTTTGACTATTTACAAGAGCCATCACCCTTGGTTATGAAATTAGTTCTTGGGTGAATGAAGCCATAGATTTACATTAGGGATCTTAAAGATTAAGAATAAAGATGTTGCCGCCCTTCCATAAACCACTACTCAATTGTATAAGAATGGCTTGGTTTCCTAAGCCCTCTCTCTCTCTCTCTCTCTCTCTCTCTCTCTCTCTTTCTTTTACTACACGAAGAAGGCCAAAATTTTTGCTTTTCAAATTTTGGCCTTAAATCCTAATTTTAATCTCATTTTGTATTTTAAATCTTATTGTAAACTTTGTGGGTGTGTGTGCATGGATTTTGAATGGAAATAATGTTCATTAGATTTTTTAACATATTTTATTGTAGTAGATAGCTCCCTTAGCCTTTCAAATACTCTAAGGATTTCAAGAGCCTCAGATTTCCTTCAATCAATCATTTGATTTTTTTAATTTCAATGTGAATTATATTTTTTTGTTGTAGCTTTTGGTGTTAGGTTTCTAACAAGGTAAGACTCACTCAATTTGAAGTAAGAACAAAGTTTTGGATAAGTTTTGAGTACGAAAGAGTTGACTGCCTTAGCAATTTATATCACTCAGCTTTAAAAAAGGTAATTATGAGGCATCTTTAAGTCAAGCTTTTAATAGAATAAATTTCTTTGAATTTGAAGATAAATTAAATTTTTAGAAAATTTCCAAATGGAAAGAGGCTGCT